GTTTGAGGAGGATCTTTTGTTGGTGTATGAGCGAGCTATGACCGCAATGGATGAGGGGAATCATCGTGTATTGAGATTGGTTGCTAGTTTTGGTAAAAATCTTTTTTATGGGTAAGTGACTCAACATCTGATCTTAATATTTTGTTGAACTAAAACAAAACTCTTTTTCTACATTTTCAAAATATGCAACTTAAAACCAGACGTCAAGCTGGTCCTTCGGCTGAATGTTCGCGAACAAAATCGACAAAGGTTTTCTTTGCAGACCTCCCAACTTCTTACATACAACACATCAAGTCTAAGGTTATACCAAGTCATGAGTTCTGTATTCAGGAGGAAAAGGAAAGATACATTGTGAATGTACTTGACTTGTTGTCTTAGACCAATCGTTTGGATGTCATTTGAATGTACTTTAATTTGTTGTGTCCGGCTTCTATTCTCAGGTATCGCATTATACTCGTCCCAATGAAACCATCCAATGTAAATGTATCCTTAAGGAAGATGGACGGCTCAGTATGTACAAGGCAAGTCTAGTATTCTTTGTGTAACATTAGAAACCAATTACTTCATCGAGAAATATTCTTCTTACATTGTAGCTTGTGTTTTTTTTTGCTTTTGCACGGGTCGAGCTTAATCTTGTTAGGCATTTGGTTGTAGATGTGTCATGCATTGATAAGAATCTTGACATGAGAGTGATGCTCACTGCCAAAAGGAAAATGACGACTCTCACCGTGAGTTGAATACGATATAAGGATTTTTACTTGGATAGATTGTGCCTCTCATGGACTTAACTTTGGTAAATCTTTCTTTGATGGGCAGGAGAAAGAGATAAGTAACATGAAAGGGCTACCGGATTCAGCGACTGTTGATCCAAATGTGAAAGGCGGTATAAGGTGGCCGCTTGGTAAATCTTCATCCGGTGATGGATACAGAGTATTTGAAGCTTGTCATGTTAAATCTACAGTCTACAGAAACCAAACTCTAAGGCTTAGAGTTAGAAAGATTGGTAGATTCAATGAGAGGATTGGAACAGGAGAAATCAAGAGAGAGGTGGCTTTGATGCGTAAAGACATGAATACTAAGTTACAGGTAAAATTATTGTACTTTCTGCATTCTTTGAAAACTTTATTGGAAGTGAGGCTTTATAGTGATTGATTATTACATTTGTGGTCTTGTTGCAGGAGCAGAACATTGAGAGGGGTTGTGTTATGGAAATGCTTAAAGATTCTCTTGGAACTCTATGGGACTTCTTGCATTGCGATGCTTATCTTACTTAAGAAAGAACCATATGATGTTGCTTTTGTGCTTTTTTCTTTTACTTTCTGCTGCTTTTGGCTACAATAATGTTAAGACTTAACAGGTTGTTTTGGGTTGTGGTGTGTGTTGACCAATAGAAAACAGAACTTGTGTTTTGTAACCGGTCATTTTCATGTATGTGAACTCAGATTATGCAAGATTCAGGCGTACAATCTAAAGCCACCAGTGAGATGAGTAATTATTTTTATT